GGAACGGCATCAACAAGAGGCACTGCATCGGAGACACGCCACAGTATGGATTTCTAATGAATTTGAGCAAACAGGTATTTAAGTCTTGTGTAGGGTTAGTATATAAGTTTAAGACTATCTAGATTCTAGAATCTAAAAGACTTTGTCAGGTGATGTTTATTTCGATTCGCATTTCCCATGAGTGTTTTAGAGGACAATAACTTAGGATTTTTTTTAGTTTTAAATAACTTTATTCCATTTCGAAATTTGACAATTACTCTCAAGTTAGTCACCTTATTTTGGCTCCGAACTCTTCACTGGGGATATAGAGTGATCTGATGATGATGAATTTGATATTTCTTCAGGTGACGTCATTACCACAGAAGCATTTCTGCTTCACTTTCATAGTGGACATCTCGCATGATGATTTCAACATGATAAGCAGCGCTGATGATGACCTGGTAGCCTTCCTCCATCACATGCGGGACTCGGGCAAGCTGGAGAACCACTTGTTTATTGTGATGGGCGATCATGGATCGAGGTTGGCTGATTTATTTATTTATTTTAAAATATAAACAAAACGCAAAAGTTTAGATGTTTGTAGCCTAAACTGCTGAATGGATTTCGATGAATTTTGGCATAGTTCTAGAGGATAATTTGAAAGAATACACAGGTTTGTTACCATTGTTTTTTAGTAACATTAATAAGATAGAACTTCAAACTTTAGTAGTTGTTACAAATGTGATATTCGTTAGATATTTTTACTTGACTGGGTGGTTTTAGTTGCCGATATCCGATATGTGGGTATCGCTATATCGGTATCGGTATCGCTATATTGGTATCGCTATGTCGGTATATCGGTATCGGTATATTGGTATCGCTATGTCGGTATATCGGTATCGGTATATTGGTATCTGTATAACGGTATCAGTATATCGGCACCCGATATTAGTAAGATATGACATTCGAATTACTCTGTTTGATCATAAAATTTCCAGATATTCCGGTCTCCGAGAGACTTACCAAGGAAAGATAGAAGAGAGATTGCCTTTAATGGCAATAATATTACCAGACAAATTGGTACAAACTCGACCTGATGCTTTGACAGCTTTGCAGAAGAACGCTCATGTTCTGACGACGCCGTTCGATATTCACACGACAGTGCTGGACGTGGTCGGTCTGCCCGAGCTCGCCAACGACTACGTCATACTCGGCTCTGATATACCGAGAGGGATGAGTCTGTTGGAACCGGTTTGTATGGATCATATTTAAGAAATTCGAAAAAAAAAATAAAAAAAAGCATAATTGACACTTCACCTGAGACATTCACATGATCCACCAACTCTATTGATAGGTCCTCAAAAACCACATGAAATACACTGTTAGGTTAGGTCAAGGTCAAAAACTAAAGAAATAACCAACTAAAAACATATTAGTGAATAAAGTAACGACATCTATACTCTCTGTACTAGTATTATAAAGAGGAAAGATTTGTATTTATGTATGTATTCGATTCATGTAAAACTACTGGGGTTCAAAAATTCTTACACCATTAAAAAGTCATGTTATCAGTGCGTAGCACAGGCTTATTCATTCTATTATTATTTAAGTTCACCCGGAGGAAGTCGCGAGCAACAGCTTGAACTAACTTAAACTAACTAGCGTTGTAACTCGCGACTTGCATTTAATAAAAAAAAATTGCCTGTGTTACTGATAACGTAGGTTTTTAATGGTGAAAGTATTGAAATTGGCTTAGCTTTTGAGTTATTTCAATATATAGGAAGAGGCCTAATTTTAGTACATTTCCCTTCCCACCATTTTATTACACGGATAGGATGGGGAGGAAAAGTACATTTGATGATAAAGGAGACGTATAGAAAGGGGAAATATGTTCGTCTCCTTCGTTGATTAAAGTTAGGCAACGCATCTGCAATTGCAGATGTTTATGGGCAGCGATCGCTTCACTTTTTCGGCGAATATAGGTGGGCGC